GGATAAGAGTATACGTTGATATTCTGTCATCAGTTCCGAAGTTTTTAAGACGCATTAAACAGAACTCCAAAATCTCTGCTGCATTCTTGTTTGTTTGATTTATTGACTCAACAACCACAGTCCTTATTATCAACATAACCATCCCATCTCACCATTGTCAACACCAACTGCCATCATAATCATTATCTCATGCTAATCATCGTTATCAGCACCACTATTAGCCTTGCCTTATGAGGCTAATTTCTTACCACTATATATATATATTCATTATAATATTAATAATCCTTAAGCCAGGTATTAACTGCACTCGACGGTTGTCGGTCGACGCAATTCTATAGAGAACGGAACGCCACAACACGCGCGCAACGGATTGTTTTTAATGATGATAATCAGACTGCCATCGGCAATCAGCCGATGGTGTCGTGCCATCTTGCGCTCACATAGAGACAAGTTGGATTCATCGTAAAACAGTTGTTTGAATCATCGTACGACAGTCGTTGCACGGCCGTCGTACCACGTAGACAGTGCTTGGCTTAATGTGTAATAATATTTCGAAAACACTTTCTTACTAGTTTCACAGAAAGTTCCAGAAAATCCAAGCACACAGCTACAAGTGTAACCACTGATTCCATCAGTACATGTGCCGCCATTTTGACACGGATCCGAGACACACTCATTATCATCTGCAAAAAAAAATAAATTTTAAATACCAAGTTAAAACCCCAAACAAATAATTACATAAAAGAAAAAAACATTTCAACCTGAAATCAAAGCACTGTAGCAAATCGCTTCTAAAAAAAAAACAATATAAAATTATAAGAAATCATATTATTATTATTTCATTATGTAAATATTTATATATTAACACAAAATGTACTTTACTTATGGTACAAAAGGTTCCTGAGAATCCAGATAAACAAGTACAGGTGTACATGTTAATGCTGTCTGTACAGGTGCCTCCATTTTGACAAGGACTGCTGGCACATTCATTGATATCTGTCAAATATAATCACAATCAATATTTTCTAGTAAAACAGAGCTTATAACACAGACGAAAAATAGTAATATTATATAATTGTAAAAGAGATGCGTGGGCCCTGGGTTCTTAGGGGAGCCAAGCTGGAAGAAGTCATTTCCGGGAGATGCAGTGGCTGATCCAGAAATTTGAAATAGGTAGGGGGAGGGGGTAGTCAAGGAGGGACTTTAACAGATGTAGGGTAGGTCGATCACCTCAGCCCCGCCATGGTTGGGGCTGAGGTAAGAAAATTTATGATTATGGCTCTAGATGACCGGAAATGACACTCTCAGAAAAAAATGTTAAATTAAAAAATATAATTTTTCCCCATTTTTATATAATTTGGAAAAATGTAGGTTCCCAGTCTGGCTTCCCCCACCCCCACTGAATCCTCCACCGACCTGCAGTGGTTAAACAAATTTGTTTATCAAATTTAATGTTATTATATTTCTGCACATACTAATGCCCATCGGCACTGATCTCCATGAGACAGTTAATAACAACATATCGAAAACATGCAAATATTATGAATTTGCGGAAGATGTGTTATTTTCCAAGAGATTCTAACTTGCTTGCGGGAGTGCGGAGGGTCATCCTGATTTCTGGGAGACTCCCGCGCAAGTTCCGGGAGACTTGGGACCCCTGGGTTCTGCAAACATTATTTTTCCTCTTTTATTTTTTATTATCTCTTTCACAGAACAGGTGTCCCAAGATGGAAGAAGCCACTGGTGGGAAGATCTGGTTACGGTAGTTAAGAATTCTTAACACATCTAACTTTATTTTGCTGCGTATGCTGATACACACAAAACATGGCCATATAACATTTCGCACAAATAGGGATGACGACAGAATGAAATAAGAAAATAATATATATCATCAGGCAGTGGATATGTAGCTCCTACTCTAAAGGTCATTTTTGCGACCTTAAATCTTTATGATTTTCGCAATAAAATGACAATCATGAAAATAGGGGGGCGCGCAAAATCATGAAACTTAGAATGATAAAAGTTAATTAGTGATTGGAAATCGTAAAAAATAAAAGGCCACAGAATATTGAAATTTTAAAATCGAGAATATAAGGGTCAGCGAATAAAGGGCTTTACAGTACAGGTTTACATAGCACTTCATAATGCATAGTGCAGGTGCACTTTGACCTTTTAACCCATAGCCGGCAGAATGAACATTTTATATATATATATAACAATAATGTTTATTAAAAATCAGGTTTTTATTTTTCATTTATCCATCTGCAATGTTACTTTTAATCAGCATACATTAACTAAATCATAATACTTACTGTTTTCACAGAAAACACCATTCCATCCAGGTGGACACTGACAAAAGAACTGTCCCACAAGGTCAGAACATGTGCCACCATTCTGACATGGGCCACTCAAACACTCGTCGACATCTGGTAAGAGATGAGAAGAAGTAGCAATAACGATATTAATATTATTATGAATAAAGTATGCCAAACCGGGCTAGTGTTCTTATTCTTTTTATCCACTAGGGATATGTATGTAGGCATGTGTACACTTATGACAATAGGCTACACTGCCCACAGAATAATTCATTTGATTTATCTTCCACTTTATTTCAACTGAGACTCTAAGAAAACAACAAATCGTGACCATCTGTCTTAAATGTTTTATATCTATTTATGTGAAAAATTAATAAATGTTATGGAAACAAAATTGTGGCATGTTAGATTTACTTAAGAGCAGCTTATAGAGTACTAGTGTTAAGTCACGATATCATGTGATACTACCGTTGCTATCGTTGCAAAATGCGTTCAAGCAGACGCCATTTTCTCCAATGACAAACCAGTAATCCCAATTTCTAACGTAATTATTAAGATGTTGTGTCCTAGTTTTTCTTTGTGAATTTTAATTGAAGATTAAATGTGTGTTTGAAACTAATATAATGCAAGCTTTCGTGTTTTTAGTACATTTTGATTTTAAAATGCCTATTCCAGAAAGCCTATGAAGTCATTCAGGAGTAATGAATGGTAACCAACATCTGGTTGGCGACAGAGGGCGCCACATGGCATTGTGACGACCTGTGGGACTCTATAGCTCAGTCGGCTAAACTGGTGGTCCTGGTTCAATTCTCATCGCCACTCTTCTTGTGTTTTTTGCTGGAGGGGTAAAATCCTTGTTACGATACAACACCATCTTTCGGATTAGATGTTTAAGCCCTTGTAATACGGCCCATGTGCATGTTAAAGAATGCAGTACACTGTTCGGAAAGGTGTAGGGGATTGCCTCCCAATGTACTGCCCAAATCACCACCAGAAGGACCCCACTGGAAACAAGTCTTCGGACACAGTGGGTTAACCTTGGTGCGATTCACACAAAAATTATTTCTACCCTATCCTAGGTTTCTGCCATAAACAGAGAATAATAAGAATAGTCACCAAAAAAATGTCTAGGTTCTCATGCACAAAAAAAAAAAAAGCACATCAATAGGCCACACCATGGCCACAATAGGTAAAATGACATTTTAATGCTGAACACATTGTATTTAACAATAATAACTGAAACATTAGGCAATGGTACACAAATAAATGAGAAAAAAAAATGATTGATTACGTACTATTCTCACAATGAGTTCCAGTCCATGCGATAGTACAGGCACAGAAGTAGCCATTGACACCATCTGCACAAGTTCCTCCATTTTGACACGGACTACTTGCGCACTCATCAATAGCTTTTAAAGAAAAACAAAATAACTTTACAACTGGAAAATGTGGAATAGTATATATAGGTGTAATTTTTGCCCTGCCTGATGTGGAAATGTACTGAATACTCAGTACGTTTGAAAAACAATTGCTAAAAAAATCGCAACTTTTTCCTAGGTGGGACTCCAACCCACGATCTCCAGGTCACTAGCCTGGCACATACCTCTAGATTACCGAGCTTGCGCCTGATGGCCAGGGTTGAATTTGAGTCCAAGTAAGCAGCCAGTACTGCAGTGTTGATAGTAATATTGTCGTGATGGAATAATAGACAATAACTGGATTTACGTCAGGAGAAACATGTATAGGCGTAATTTTTGCCCTACCTGACGTGGAAATGTACTGAATACTCAGTACGTTTGAAAACAATTGCGAAACAAAATCGCAAGTTATTCTCGGGTGGACTCGAACCTACGATCTTCAGAATAGTATACAATGAATGTTTATGAGTGCAATGGGAAGAATATTTTCAAGAGTTTAAAGATTGACTGTTGCATTCGACGAGGTGGAGCTGAGTTGAATGGAACAGTCAATCTATCAACAAATGAAAATATTCTTTCCATTGTGAAAACAAAAAAAAACATTCTCTATTCCAATGCTTATAATGTAGAGTGAGAGAAATTTTGTAATTGGAAATATTGAAATAAAATATAAATCTTAATTCCAAGCTTTCGTTACTATCTCAGCAACTTCTTCAGGGAAACTGATGTATTTACAGAGATCCACTTGTCACATGATCATTCAAGCATGCAATTGAATTTGAATGATCATGTGACAACCACGGTATAATGTAGTGACAACCCTTGTAGGGTTCATGTCACCAGCCTCTGAGGCACTATGACCTCAGGGTCAGCGCATTTGCATATTACTAATCCATGAGCAACACTCAGAATAACACACAGAATAACAATTGTGACAACTGACATGCATTCATATGTTGTCGATGACCCCGGCTTACACCAGTGAGCTTACCCATGTCGCAGAGAGTTCCAGCCCATCCAGGATTGCAAGTACACGTGAATGAGTTCACGTTGTCATTACAGATGCCGTTCACGCACGGATTACTACCACACTCGTTGGTATCTGGCAAAAAAAAAATTGTATTACTTATAATACACATATCTGAAGGGATGTTGTGTAGTCTGTTGTCAGTGAGATTGGATGGTTCTATTTATGGTGTAGGGGTGTTTTTAAAGGAACAATGGCAATTAGTGTGTTTATCCAGGTAATTATTCACAAAATAGATGTTTAAATTATATTGTTTTATTATCTTCTTGCCAATTCACATACACACTTTGTAACTCTGTAAAATTGAGCTATAAAAAGATTTAAAGCATGACTTATTAGTGACTATATCTGTGGTTTACTATAAATGGAAAATAAAGTTTTATTATGATAGTATCTTCCATTACTCATGATGGGGATCATGATTGCCTGATTGATTGATTGACATACTTAATCCACAGTGGGTTCCCTCAAATCCAGCAGGACAGACACATACATACTGGTTGATACCATCAAGACAATTTCCGGAATTAAGACAAGGACCACTAGCACATTCATTAATGTCTAAATAAAGAAAACAACACACATACTAATAATTAAGCTTTCACTTACAAATATTTTCATAATTAAGCAACAAATTAGGAATAAAAACCTTTTAATATAATATTTGTCCAAAACATTTAAGATGTCATGAGCTAAATATCGAAAAAAATCAATTCCATATCTAAATTGTCCATATCTAAATTTTTTAGTTGTACATTATTAACTTAAAATTAAAAATTTGAATGAGAAAAATATTCTCTATCAATTAACGGAGAGTCAACTCTATTAGCTCTATTATTTTGTTTAGACAATTGGCTGGACATCAATTTAACATTTTTTATAGTATGCAAATCAGCATATTCTATCAGTTTCTAGTTGGAAGTTAATAAATTATTTTTTAAAGAAAAACAAAATAACTTTACAACTGGAAAATGTGGAATAGTATATATAGGTGTAATTTTTGCCCTGTCTGATGTGGAAATGTACTGAATACTCAGTACGTTTGAAAACAATTGCGAAACAAAATCGCAAGTTATTCTCGGGTGGACTCGAACCTACGATCTTCAGAATAGTATACAATGAATGTTTATGAGTGCAATGGGAAGAATATTTTCAAGAGTTTAAAGATTGACTGTTGCATTCGACGAGGTGGAGCTGAGTTGAATGGAACAGTCAATCTATCAACTAATGACAATATTCTTTCCATTGAGAAAACAAAAAAAAACATTCTCTAAAAAAATATTTGGTACTATTCCAATGCTTATAATGTAGAGTGTGAGAAATTTTGTAATTGGAAATATTGAAATAAAATATAAATCTTAATTCCAAGCTTTCGTTACTATCTCAGCAACTTCTTCAGGGAAACTGATGAATTTACAGAGATCCACTTGTCACTTGATCATTCAAGAATGCAATTGAATTTGAATGATCATGTGACAACCACGGTATAATGTAGTGACAACCCTTGTAGGGTTCATGTCACCAGCCTCTGAGGCACTATGACCTCAGGGTCAGTGCATTTGCATATTACTAATCCATGAGCAACACTCAGTGGACCCGGGATACCGTAAGAATAACAATTGTGACAACTGACATGCATTCATATGTTGTCGATGACCCCGGTTTACACCAGTGAGCTTACCCATGTTACAGAGAGTTCCAGCCCATCCCGGATTGCAAGTACACGTGAATGAGTTCACGTTGTCGTTACAGATGCCGTTCACGCACGGATTGCTACCACACTCGTTGGTATCTGGCAAAAAAAAAATCGTATTACTTATAATACACATATCAGAAGAGATGTTGTGTGGTCTCTCAGTGAGATTGGATGGTTCTATTTATGGTGTAGGGGTGTTTTTAAAGGAACAATGGCAATTAGTGTGTTTATCCAGGTAATTATTCACAAAATAGATGTTTAAATTATATTGTTTTATTATCTTCTTGCCAATTCACATACACACTTTGTAACTCTGTAAAATTGAGCTATAAAAAGATTTAAAGCATGACTTATTAGTGACTATATCTGTGGTTTACTATAAATGGAAAATAAAGTTTTATTATGATAGTATCTTCCATTACTCATGATGGGGATCATGATTGCTTGATTGATTGATTGATTGACATACTTAATCCACAGTGGGTTCCCTCAAATCCAGCAGGACAGACACATACATACTGGTTGATACCATCAACACAATTTCCGGAATTAAGACAAGGACCACTAGCACATTCATTAATGTCTAAATAAAGAAAACAACACACATACTAATAATTAAGCTTTCACTTACAAATATTTTCATAATTAAGCAACAAATTAGGAATAAAAATGAAAAACATTTTTATATAATATTTGTCCAAAACATTTAAGATGTCATGAGCTAAATATCGAAAAAAATAAATTCTATATCTAAATTGTCCATATCTAAATTTTTTAGTTGTACATTATTAACTTAAAATTAAAAATTTGAATGAGAAAGTATTCTCTATCAATTAACGTAGAGTCAACTCTATTAGATCTATTATTTTGTTTAGACAATTGGCTGGTCATCAATGTAACAATTTTTATAGTATGCAAATCAGCAAAAACTTTTTATTCTATCAGTTTCTAGTTAATAAATTATTTGATTTTATTAGATAAGACTTTCAAAGTTTCAGTTGAATTTTTAAGGTTTTACCAATTTTTGTTTGCTGACAGTGCATCTTAACAGAAAAACCATTTAACAAAACCATATACAAACTTAGTAAGAAATGAGATGAGTGAAGATCTTAATTGTTTTAATGGCAAAAAGGTCATCTGCGCACACAAAAATGTTAAGTTCTCCTAGTTGCTTGGATTCCCGGATGTAATTTGACCAATTATGTTGTGCAGATCACACATGAGTGAATCCGAGCGAACTGAAAGTGCCCTATTAACAGACGAACGGAGAACTTACTGATATCACAAAGTGTTCCAGCGTAGCCGGGCAGACAACTGCAGGTGAACATATTAACGCCATCTAAGCATGTGCCCCCATTCATACATGGGCCTGATGAACACTCGTTATTATCTGTGGAGAAAAAAACAATGTTTGATTTAACAGCAATGGCATTTTTATTCACAAAATGTATATTATTGATAAAATAAGTTATTAATAAGAATTAGGCTACACAACTTAGAGGCATAACACAAAAAGACACCCTTAAGTAGACTGATTGCATAATACTTCAGAGTGGCAGCGTGTGAAGGCCTCAAACTCCTGTCATTTTTGACGAATTAAAGGCGTATATAGTAAGGATTTTTTACACGTTTATACCTTGGTGGAGCATTTGTTATGAATATTACTATAAAGTTAAGAGGTAGGCTTAATTTACACTACATGGGTAAATTACCTGAAGAGTCAAAATAATTTTAGTGTTCTATGAATACATAATGTAAACATTCTGCAGTATCCGTTTTATAATTGGCTATAAATTTCTTAGGAAACTTACTAATTTGACAGTTAATACCGCTATATCCTGGAACACATGTGCAGGAATAACTGTTCACTTGATCAACGCATGCGCCGCCATTTAAACAAGGAGAACTTGCGCACTCGTTGATATCTGGAGAACAACACAAAACGGAAACAAAATCATATAAATGCCAATAAAGACAAAATTTTTCAAAAAAATCATTTAAAAGATACACTGCCAAAAGAAATCGGAAAAAACCTCAAAAATTAAAATTTTTAATAACTCATTTAGTTTATTTATCAAATAAGACATTCATTTCCAACCAATTGTTTATTGTTTTTATTCATTTTTAGTATGTTTTAATTGTATGTTTTAAATTGTTGCTTGGTCATTCTTTGTACTAAGCTTTAAATGTACATATTAACTATTTGTAAACATTAATGAAAATCAGTTTTAACTGCAAATTTGATGAATAAAAAAATACTTTAAATACTTGAAAGAGATTGAAAATAAAAACACAGTTCTCATTAATTTACAGATGAGCAAAAAATCAGGAAAAATCGTTCACCTATACCTTATTGGAAAGGAAAGATGACAATATAATTCATTTCTTTTAAATTAACAATTAAAATGTAAAAGTTTGAGGGTATTTAAGATTTCATTTACCAGAAATAGCTTTAAATAATAAATTTGATAAGAAACATATAATAATCTATATCTTAATATAAATATTTATACATACAATGAAGGAAATTGTGAATTTATAGCTTATGAAATCATAATGAAAATTCATATGAAGAATATATAAATAATTTAACTATTTGAAATGAAAATATGCATGAAAATTGAATAATGATAATGAAGGAAACTCGGGGAAGCAATATGGCAAAACATACCCACAACAGAAGCAAAAACAATATTTTTAAAGCTTTGTCTAAAACTATCAAATTCTCTTCAACAAAAAAACTGTTGTATGCCCATATACGGTCATGATGTGATTTCATCATGACCATATTTAGGCATATCACATGTTTTGTCAAATAAAATATGATAGTCTGGACAAGCCTTCAGGCTAACAAGATCTTGTTGGCATTTTTACAAAAAATCATATTAATGAATGGATAAAGCTATGTAATATATTCCATAAAATACTATAAAGTTCTGGCTACACTATAAAGTGATCAATTATTGGTGAATTTAAAATGAAGAGAAGATCTTGTTTGCCTGATGAAGGAATATCAAGGAAAAGCGATTGTTACAATTAAGTAACAGCACATTTAGATCAAGCTAAAATCTATGCCAAAATGATTGCATTTTCCACAAATCTGTAGACATATATCAAAGAAACTGATTATGTTGAAAACATTGAATCAAAAATACCAAAACAGATTCAGAATAACTCAGTGCTACCAATAAATAAAAATAAGATTTTAAAGTAATGTCAGTATACATATTTATATAGATTTATAGGTCAGAGATTTTTAAATCATAAATGATCATTGACCAGCCATTTGAGGAGGCCGGTTTTTGTCTCTATTTGTTTTCAATGTAATATGAGTTAAATACGAAGGACCTTTGAAGACAGCTGGAAATCAAACTTAACGACTGGCCAATCAGAACTGAGCCCATGAATATGCGTGTATGTAAAATGCCCATATATAGTCATGCTGTTCCTATATATGGTCATGATGTCGTACAAACACACAAGTTGTCCCACAAACGCACGTCTTCACATACATCTATCCTATTGTTTTGTGTTACCTTAGCAACAAATATTAAAGGGGCGGGGCTTAATGAAAAGTTCCATTGTACCACTTGTATATTTCTATATTTGCAATCAATAATAAGTTTTTTGCTTCAATGAATCTGTTTAAATTATGTTTAATACACAATCAATTTTTTTGATTACATGAAATATAAAAAATTTAGCTTTGTTGCATAAAGATGGCATAGATTTCAAATTCCATGATACTTGATCCATTGCTCACATGAGATCAACATGCATACACAATCCCAAAACCTTGCTTGATATGACAGACTTATTTTAATAAACTACAGTAACAGTCACAAGAAACATTTGAGCAGTGTTGGCATGAACACAGGCATTTAAATGCAGCAAATCATGAAAATGAAATGTAAACAAAAATAAAGGATACTTGCACAAATATTCATCAAATTTCTGAATGAAAAACATAACTGAATTTCTTAAAAAAATATTTTCCAAATGTTAAGTATTATAAAAACATAATGTTCAAATACATAGACATATTTAAAATAGTTTCTTTAAACACATCAACAACAGTTGCTTCAGCTAAAGTAATAGAAAAACAGATTATTACTTTATATGCAATAGAATCTAACCAATTGGCCACCCTTCTTAAGGGGACATCCCATTAGGGGATACATTTTTGTCTTCGAAAGGGAAGTATATCTTTAAACACTAAGACCAACCCCTATTCAGGGACCGCCCTTTTAAGGGGATACTTTTTTGGTTCTGATGGTGTTAATTTTTTTATTATATACACAATTTAAATTGTGCATACAACCGCCATGACACTGAAATGTATAACAAACTAAAATAGAGAAAAGCATGTAAGTGCACTGCAAGGATTTATCCACAGTACGTGACGATGGCCACACAATATACGTCAGCCAATTAATTCAGATGAAATAGTGCCAGGACATGCAGTGTAAAAATTGTGATAAGTGCATTTAAAACATATATCAACATACTACATCAAAGAGCTGAACATTCTGGCCGAGAGGTATTTATATATATATATATATTACTATTATTCTGAAATTCCAAAATCCATTAAATTTTAATAACTGTAAAAGTATATTAAATGCTTAAGTGTAAAAATAAATTTAAAAAAAATAAATTTGTGTATAGCGCCCTCTATGTAAACACTACAAAACAGTACGGCCTCTATATTTTTAAAAAATTGTAGTGATCAAACTGCTACTGATTATATTTGTCGGTCGGTAAAGCTCGTGAAAATAAGTTTGTATGGCCAATATTCACATTTTAATGACGCGAGATAATACAACGTAAAAATAGATGCTCATGCATGACACTCACCCATTATGCGTGAGAGTTTGCAAGGGTACATTATTCACTTACTGGTTTGACAGTTGAGACCGGTATACCCAGCTACGCAGCTACACGTGTAGAAGTTAACGCCATCAGCACATGTTCCGCCATTAAAACATGGAGTTGACGCACACTCATTAATATCTAAAAATAGATCAAATTGTATTAATAGAAGAACCATATATTGGGTCATCTGAATAAGATTATAAAACATAAAAGCTCATGTCCACACTATTAAAATTTCTCTGACAAAGAAACTGTTGTATACCCATATATAGCCAAGATGTGACTATATATTATTACTACTACCACTACTACTAACAATAATTATAATAGTAGTAATAATAATAATAATAATAATAATGATAATAATAATAATAATAATAATAATAATAATAATAATAATAATAATGAATAAATTGTAAGCTCACTTGTTTCGCAGAGAATGCCTGTCCAGCCTGGTAGACAGGAGCAGACAAAGTTGTTGATGCCATCAGTACATGGAGCATTATTCTGACAAGGGTTTGGATTACAC